AAAAAAAAAAAAAAAAAAAAAAAAAAACACATTTGTCCAAATATTCCAAAGAAACAACTGACTACCATTGTTGCTGGTAATTTTTAGGCTTTAAGTTCTTAGTCGTTGTAGCTGTCGATTTTCGTTTACAACAGACAATTATTTAATGGTAGAATTCCTTCTACTGTTGTTGTTGTTGTTGTTGCTGCTGCTCCTGCTCTTGCTGCTGCAGCATACTTTTTTTATTTATGGTTTTATACAATGAAAACTGTTGGAAGAAAAATAAAAAATTCTTTTTCCACTAATTGATTTTATCTCAATTATTAGAATCAACATTTATTCAACTTCTGCATAAATGCGTATGTTTAGTAGGTATGTGATGAATAGATGTTAGTTTGTTGACTGGATCAGATGTGATTGAAAACTTAGAAGAAAAAAAAAACCGGCAAAAAAAACGAATTAACGTTAATATCCAAACTTTTTTATAACTTCCCATTTCTACAGTATTCCTCAGTTTTTTTTCTCTAAATAAATAAAATGACATCAAAAAAGCTAAAATAATAATAACAAGAAATGGTTACGGTAAAGCATAGTCATCTGTTGTGCAACATGCATTTATCAAATGTCACTCAGTCAGTCACTTTTCGGAAATCCACTAATGCCCACAAAAATAGCTGGCAAAATTTCGTTGAAGCAACATCTGCCAGTGAAATCTGTTGTTAGCCATAATTTAAATTCCAAAAATTTTTTTTTCTTTTCAGTCACATATGACTAACTTCAGTTTTAACCACTATTTTAGCCCCATCATCTATTTAGAATCTGTATCACGCAAATAAACCTATCTAAATCAGTTATATCGTAGTATCATCAGATTTTTAAACTATTACTCTGTTGACGCGATAACATACATCAGTTTAAAGTGTATTCAAGGTTAACCAAAATTTCTTCTACAGCATTAATTATTGGGTAACGAAAAGGAAACAAAGAAATTAATATTCCAATAAGAAGGTAATATTATCAGTTATATTACAATCACTTACTAAAATGCAACATTTTTATGCACGAAAATTTACAAGCCCCTCTCGCGTCCGTTTATCAATTGACAAATACGGGCTGCAAGCCGATTAGTATCCCCCTACCCAAATTAATGTGATCGTCCATTTAGAGTTTAGTCTGTTTCAA